TTGAAGAGAATGGGTCGAGCTCTTTAGGATCCACTGTCAAAAATAATCAAACCTTTAGAGGTAGAACTTTGGACATTATCAAGACTAGCAAGGTTAGACATGATCAGAGTTGTAGCAAGTTCATATGCAAGAAGGGCAACCAGTTATCAAGCAGTATTACCGGCAAATACAAGGGGGCTAAAAGGAGAATTTGTCAGTATCACATTCCCGCCTGTTAATTGCTAACCTCTGTGCACCGCATCCAATGGCTTTATAGCAGAGATCAAAGATACATTCTGAAACTCCTCATACGCATTGCAACTAGGATAGATTGCTGACTATCACTCGCAAGTGACCGTGAATATTCGAAGTGTCAGCCAGAAAAGTATGAACCCAACGCCGAATAAACAGCAGATTGCGTACTCAATTTTCAGTCTACGTCTGAATAACGGCGGATTGACGATAACGCGGGAGCCGGAAATGACCATGTTTCTCTCACTGTCTCCATCGGAGTCACGCTTCGGTAAATATGCTATACTAGCTAGCAAGCATTCGCTGTAGATGTTTTTACTTCCAAATTACTTTTGTAAACTAAAAGTCTCTGCCTTTAGGATGAATTTTTGATGCAGTGTTTTTAAGTCAAGGAGCATTAAATGACGACAGTCAATCTACCGCAGTAAATTCCCGTTTTCTACTAAAAGAAGTAGACGCTTCAGGCTTAAACCACAGGAGGCAGGTCCAATTAATGACTGTTTTGCTCCCTGACCCAACTGCAGAGCTTTAACCACAGATGTATGTTAGTTTTTTTGCTTTTTTGGAAGGGCAAAAATAAAGGGGTAACCGGAATACCATCGGAAAAACAAGATTTTTATGGTGAACTTTCGGAATTGCTCTATTTAACAAGGAATATGCAAGAATAGTAATAAAAAGTGCATAAAATCAAGTGTTTCTTGAGATGAGATGATGTCGCATTGAAAATTAGCAAAACATTGCTCTATTTTGCGTCAATTAGAGCTTCTCAAAAGGCTTAATTCTGATCAGTTTGCTGAGACTCAATTTACCCCCCTACAGAATTATCTACACTTCTCATGAGATCTCTTTGTATGAAACGAATCAAAAGGTCTCCGTCTCACCTAGACTATGGGTACTCATCTTACCAATTTGAAGAAATTTATCAAATCTAGCGACGAGCAATAATCAACAGCACCCTGTTCACTCAAAAGAGCTGCACAATCTCTTTTATTGCAGAGGGGACACGACAGGATCTTTAGTATTGTCTTGGAAAGAGAAAAGATTATCAATTGTGATATGAAACTGGCCTCTATGTATTTCTGTGTAAGGGTGATTTTCAGTTTATTGTTTTACTAAAACGCTGAAGCGATATGATTTATTAGAATGCCCAAACATAGTTGCATTTAAGAGATTGTGGACTAAAAGTATGAGTATCCACTTTGCAGTCAGTGACCGATCTCATTTAATGCAAGTCCAAATTCTGAAATGCATTTTCAGTTAGAAAGGATTACTAAGGTGGGGTTGTTATATTGATTACCATGCCGCATAATCCAAAAATATTTCGGACTCGCCAGGATTCTGCTTTTCGAGAGCGCTTCTTTAGGACCTACTGTATAGACCAAAATCGATAAAAATTAACCACATAAGTAGTGCGCATTTTCATGTTGATTTTTGACGCTCTCATAAATTCGAATATGTTCTTTAGAAAAGACTCATAAAACATGCTTTATTTTTTTATTTGGTAGCAAACCACGTTGTTTTCATATTTTATACTCAAAGAAAGGGTGTATCTAGGTTTGTATAATTGATGACGAGCATTTATAAACGGGCAGTTACGATGCTGCACGAATGGACCTTGCCCGCTCTTAAAGAATACCATAATTAGAAGCATCTTAGGGCACAAAAGGAATATATGATTTTCTTTACGCGGAAAACAAGAGCCTTGTATACTGAAATCGCCAAACATTAGTGCTGATCCGGCTCAAAATCATCCGAGAATTTGGAAATTTTTTTAAAACCCAAATATACCCTTTCTTCGGGGTATAAAATGCGAAGCCGACGCGATTTGCTAACAAATGAGTAAAAAAGAGCATATTTTATGTAAGTTTTTTTGTGAAATATTTTTGAATTTATAAGAGCATCAAAAATAAGTAGGAAAAGTTTATGCTACGTAAGTAGCCATCTTTTTTACCGAGTACGGTTTCAACAGGAGATCGAAAAGAAGTGCATTCAAAGCCAGCATCCTGGAGAGTCCGAAGTATTATAGGGTTATGTCGCATGATAATCAATATTACAACCCCATCGAAGTAATCCTTCCTAACCGAAAACGCATTTTAGAATTCTAGCCGACATTTCAAGTGATCGTTCGCCACTGTACCCATACAGGACGGACGCCAATCATAGGGTTTCTAAGGAGAGCACCGTTAAGGTAAAAGACCCTACGTAACTGTCGATAGACTGTGAATCGTGTCATAAAGAGTTTTATTTTGGCATTCACTTGCAGGCCGTTAAAGACATTTCATCGCCAATAAAAGTTACTTCCTATAACCTCAAACCATAACTCAAATTCCATTTTTTCAAAAATTTTTGCCTTGTATATTTTTCACTTAAGACACTCATTTCCTTTGCCATACTGAAGCGCACGACAAGACATTCGGCAGAAATCCAAGCAACTTCTGCGTCTTCTTTCATTTCCTCAGCTTACTGTCTAGCCCGCTGAACCACCCGTAAAACCCCCATTATCAAAATTGCCGTATGACTCAATCAACAGTCTACCGACAATCAAGCGGAGTCCTTCACCCCACGGCGGCCCCATTGAGTTGTTTTCCTTCAATTAGACTGCATATTTTGCCGTAAAGTTGCATCAACCGAATTTTCAGTGGGACTTGCATCTACCTGGGTCTGGGCCGTAGCTGGAATTTAATGCCTCGCTCACAAGGAGTATTAAATATTCTGCCTCAATCTAAGTACCCACAGATCACATGCAGATACGGGGCACTGGTTTTGGCAGTCGAGGGATCAGGGGTGACTCGCGGACGAAGGAAATCTGCTGGTCGGTTGCCTGTCGAATTAAGCCAGACTCCATTATGACACGAACAATGATATACTTCTGTGTGAGGAGGATTTTCTGTTTGATGGTAGGGTGCGTTCACCGGTCGTTCTTACGGAACTCACTCGTTCCGTTGTGTCTTACGGGCTCTCTCTCGAGCCCAAACAGCAGTCGCACAGCGGTGCATGATATAGGCAGAATGGCATTACCGGCAAAGACAAGGGAGCCTGGGATGGCCATTTCTGACTTATTAGCTGTCGTCAGCCAGTCATAACCAACCCCGAAGTGTGGAACACCCGAGGCTCGAACTCGCGACCTGTTAGTTAGAAGTCCATGCCTCTAACCACTGGGCCATGAGCTCGTTGTCCTGTCGGGTTTGATCGATGATCGCCCTCCCCCCACCACTGTATATTCCCGGTCGAAACCGAAAGGGCAACGGGCTCGTGGCCTAGTAATTTGAAGCGTGGGCATCCAAATAACAGGTCGCGAGTTCAAGCCTCGGGTGTTTCACACTTCAGGATTGGGTACGACTGGCTGACGACAGCCAACAAGCCAGAAATTGCCATTCCAGTCTCCCTTGTCTTTGTCGGTAATAACATACTGCCAATTTTCTGTTTTTTAACCTACCATAAGTTTGACTCAACATTGGTGGCCATGCTGCCTAGACAAAGTTGCATTTTCGTGCGCTTCCACCAGAAATGGGAGTAGTCATTTTATTCACGCGAGGACGACACCGATTTGTAGGCTTCTTCGCTCAGTTCTCCTTTAAATAAAACCCCTTTCTTTACCCCGGGACCGCAGGAAACTATGTAAATAACCCAAATTACCTTTTTTGGATTTGCAAATAAAGTTTTTGTTCCAGTTATCGAGTCTCCTTCTTCTCAAAGCAGTGCTCCGCACAATCCCCATACTGGGAGGCAGTGGAGTCACCATATTCCTATTGAACACTTCAGCATCATTTAATCCGATTTGGCACTGCACAATCCGCATCGCGACGTTTACCTGCTAGTTAAGCTGTAGCACGGACAATTTCAAGCTGTCAGATGGCGTAGCACATGCAACAGACGTTCCTGCCAACGCGCACGCCTAGTCTGTCAATCAGTTGACTATTATTGCTGCCGTTGTTGCTGTTGTTTCTGCTGGTGACAGTGGTGGTGACGATGATGATAGTGGAGACGCTGCTGCTGCTGCTGCTGCTGTTGGTAACGGTTGTGATGTCGGTGACGATGTTGGCCGTGGTGGTGCTGCGCCCCTAAAACGAGCCGCGCGGTAGATGCGCTGGGTCAACAGAGAGTCCACATCGGATTCTACCAAGGGCTTGTGGTGAGGTACCTGACTAATTTACCTTTGATAATTTAGTCCCATTTCCTTTGGCCGCATTGCTTGTTTGAATGTGACGTAAAACGACACACCTGTACAACCCGCCTTGCTAGCGTGCTCTGCTGTGGTATTCTGTTGTCAGTTTTTCTTAACGTTCAAAAATCTCTATATTATTCACTGCTCCGATTTACTTGCTGCATTTAAGGCTAGGGGCTCGTAAGATATAACTCGTTATTTCGTGAGAACATTACGATTTACGACATTGGTGACTTCCGACGTTTACGCAGACTTTATAGCTTTCTGCCATACTGGATAACATTTAACGTACTATTTGCTTGTGAATATCTATTCCATTTACATTTACTTTCCTCACGAATTCTGATATTTTGACAGGCTATCGGGAATACATACCCATAACAAATTCCAACATTCGGGGTGCGGTGGCTGGCTCACATTTGGATCAATGCTGCCCCCATTTTCGATTGTTAATCAAAATCCTAATCAAGTGTTTGTTGTGGACTAGGTGGTACGCCTAGGCGCGGATTCCCGCCGTGCCAGCCACCCACACCCTCGCTCGCCTTTAATCTCCTTCACCATTTCTTGACGTCGGTACCAGGTGGGGGGGGGGAGAGTGTGGTCGATGCTTCGAATGTCTGCCCTCACTATAGAAGAAATCACGCCAGGTCGCTGGACCTACTCTCACCACGCTGTGGGGCGCATTTCGGACATTGTCGGCCACGACGATCAAACTGCCGGTGGTGGTGGTGGCGGCAGCGATGAGGGTGGTGGAGACGCTGCTGCTGCTGGCAATGATTATGATGTTGGTCCGGATAAAGGTGATAATGGTTTAAATGGTGTTTTTGTTGGTGGTGGTCGCGACGGCGGAGGTGGTAGGGGTCTTGCTAGTGGTGTTGTTGGTGGCCGTGATAATGACAGTGGTAGTATTGGTGATAGTTTCAGTGAGTAGAAGGAGGAGGATGAGTGCATGCCCCTAATGTTGTAGGCGGATCTGCTGCTAGTCCTGATGGACTTCGCATCTGTTGTTCATGTCGTCGTCTAATAAATGCGCGGTGGAATCTTTCGACTCAGCAGCCCCGGTCAAAATGCATAGCTCATTTGTCCATAAGTCAAAGGCCAGAGCGTAGGCGGATGAAGAGGAAGTCACACTGACAAATTTGGGAGTCGAAATGGGCCCACGCGTCCAGTTTTGGAAAAGCCGGACTCCGTGGTCCTGCGACTCACCCGGCTGCAACGGCTACTGTCCTTGCGAATTTGCTTCTGCACAGTGATGTTCAGGTAGACAACGTGGCTACTTCTAATTTAGGTAAGTGATCAGGCCTTTCACAACTCCATCCGGTGGTGCTGCGATACAACTAGACTTTTGTTGTTCGTAGAAGAATCAAAAGGACCTGACTACGTGAGACATCTTTTCCCCGGATAGAGATCTGAACCACACTGAGTCCTCACGCGAAAATGGACTTTCAAACTACAGAGAATGGAAATGACCAATGCACATTTTATTCAATTCCTTCTCATGTATGGCAGACCGTTGATGTTTCGCAATCAAGTATCAGATATTCTTTATGGGCGGAAAACGAATGGACAACAGAAAAGCTTTCAGAGTCCAGGTTGGTCCTCAGAAAACGCAGCGTTCACCATTCTGGACAATTCCTAACTCATTGCTGAAGTTTAAAGCAAACCCCAGCTGTGATGTTCGAGGTTTGTAAGCACGAATGTCCTTTGCCTTCTCTAACACACGTCAGCCACCGATGATGTCGCATCTCGCGCGACAGCCCCCTGCCGATTAACAACTGTAACATCGAATGGAAAGATGGCATCCCGAGGTAACTGAATCATTATAGAATCATGCAGCATAATGATTAATTTTAACAAACTTCATAAGTAGTCTTTTCGAAACGAAAACGCATTTCAGAATTTCGGTTAACATTTCACGAATTAGCACGCCTACTCTATATAGTTCTAAAACGTAGACACGGGACAAAGGACTCCCCGTACTACACGTAGTCTTGCACTAAGTCCCAGGGTGGCTTGGGGTTATGCTTAGAGTCAGGAGGGTTAGGGCTCGGATCAGGAGGATTAGTGTTGGAATTTAGATGGTTAGGGCTAAGGTTAGGGTTAATATCAGTGCTAAAGTTAGAATGCGGTAAAAGGCATCTCCCGACATTTAGTGCGGGGCCACCTGTAGCGCAGGGTAGGCCTCTATTCCCCTGTTCCACCCAAATTCAGCTTGTGCTAAGGGCAGATGGTGAATGCGACTTATTCTTCCCGGTTATATGTGGCAAAATTTGTGTCCACGGCTCAGTTAAAGAGTATTTGACCAGCTGGTTAGAAGTTTAACCCCAAGTTCCAGCTCTCTTCTACCCTAGGTTAGAGTACTGGCTGGCTGACGATGCCCGGCAAATTAGAAACAGCCGGTCCAGTCCTCCTCTGTCCTTTCCATTTTCTCCATATTCTTCTTCTGCATGTCTCCAATAGGGATTTCAAAGGTACACGCCTACTTTCCCTTAAATACACTGATACTGATTCTCGACTGTTCGTCAGCGAGCAACCGCTGTATTGCCTTCAGACGGAACGATAAAATTAACCGGAAGCCCATATTCAGTTCTGCAGTCAGGATCGCTCACTGAACATCATTCAGCGAAAAGATCGTACAGGTTTTTCCACACGCAGTGCAATAGTCGTCCTGTTTCACCCACTTCGCCTTATAGTACGGCGAAGTTTGACAGCGCTGACACCAGAAACTGCTAAACAACTTCTAGTCTGGTCCTCTGCTATAGTTTTATCGATCATGCCTCCGTTGGAGGAATTTTTGTCAGTCAGAGAAAAGAAATTAATTTGTTATTCGTTTGGGGCTACTGTGCTAAGACCTTTTCTGACTGAGTACTTTAAGACCGGATTTCGGGACTCAAATGACGGGACACCTTCGGAGATTATTCTTCTCTGGCAAAAACTCCTGCCGCGCCAACCGCTGTTGAAGAACTTTATCGAGCAATGATCTTATTGGTTGAAAAATACGAATGACTAATAATAGACAGGGCCGTCTTAAAAAAGAGATTGAATTCCCGTCACTGGGTCTGTTTTTGACTCATCTCTACTAACTGATTCATTTAACTGATTCTGGCTCATCCTTCTGATGGAAGTTGCATCAAGCTGTAAACTCATCCCCCAACATTATTTCCCATGCCCACGCAAACAGCTGATCTGAACCGGCTTTCGGCGCTTTTTACCAATGCGTAAAGTAGCCGGACTCCCGTTATGCGTTTGCCGTCGAAATTTGTTTAACTAACCCAAGAGTGAGTTTACAGGAATCAGGACGTTTTCAAGCCGTCTTAAGACGTAAAACAAACGTGGAAAAAAGTTATCTTTTTAAACATGCTTAAGAAATCAGCACTTGTTTGACGTAAACGTCAGTAAGCAGTTCCCGAATACGTCATTCTGTACTGACTAATTCTCGTCTCTTCCACTTTTCACGGCGATTTTTGTGCGCGGCATCAGACTCACTATGCCAGTTGATGCATGATTCACCTGATGAGAAATAAGCAAGGCAGAGTGATGGCACATGGCGGTCGCCTGCTGGGTCAAACTAGTAAATATTTTTAAGCGCGTTCAAAATGCTAGCTGTTTTTGCAAATTTGCTCTACGTATAACGCCAAACCGGGGAACCCACACCCAGAATTGGCATAAGTAAGTTTCTAGCTTCTCTCAGAGGACGTATTAAGACTAGAGATATGTATTTAGATGCCAGCCTTAAAGACAACGACCACATGAAACACACCTTACATCAAGAGTTTTAAAAAATGTAAAGCCTACTTAGTGCCAGTGCTGAAGGGGGGATTATCACAGATAAGAGAGGGATCATCCTGTTACGAGTAACAACTGTTCTCGCATACCACTAGACTGCTGTGTACCAGGACAAGCGCAATACAGGCGGGATGACAATTGCTTAGGAAGAACAAAGGTTTCTGTCTGCCCTCCAAATCTATATGAAATGCAAATAAGAGGAGCAAAGCGTTATTTGCGTGATCATCGTTGACTTTGCTGGAAGAATTCTTTTTGAAATGGGGACCGGAGTATAGAGAAACCAATCGAGTAGGGTTTCGCCAACGTGCTACAGATAGCACCATCTATTTTTGCTAGTCATTTTGCCATAACGAGAGTATTCTGTGCATATAGTATACATTCATTTGCAGAAACCCTTACTGAATGGATGGCGAAACGTACAATATACTGGTCGCTGCGGGGATTCCCATTGAATTGGTTTTGTTATAGGAAAACGGTTTAATTAGGACCTAGCAAGTCAAATTACCTTGCTATTACGCATCCGTCTCTATTTTCAAGTTCACGAAGGATGAGTAACATGGAATGATATTATTGTTTAATCATCCTTTAAAATTCAAATTCTGTTTGTTCTAGTGGCGTTATAGCAAAGCCTATTATGTCTTCCGCACTTTTCATCTCTGGCCTCATCCGGAACTACTTTGTTCATTATCTGAATTTCTAAACATTCCATATGGCTTAAGGTGCATTGGCTACGAGGGTTGATCCACGTTTTCAGCGACTTTTTTCATGCCTGACGTGCTTGTCCGCACTTTGTATTTGACTAAGGCAGTCAGCATGTTGTTTAAGCGCACCTTTAAAATTTGCCTTCATAAAATTTTGTCGTAAAAAATAATCTTTGACCTCTGTCTTGTGACCTTTTGATGCGACCTCGTTGGGTGAACGCTGAATCACTCATAAAAAACGGTGAGATTTTATTTTGTAGCTGTACTTGCGGTAGTCAAGCCTCACCCTACCCTAAGCCCAACCTCTAACCCATAACCCTAACCCCTAAAAGGTACGGCTATGAAATAGGATCTTGCCTAAGAAACTAGCAAAACTTTTGTTACACAAATGCCTACAGTAAAAGAAAGATGCAGAATCGCCGGTACGTATTCGAATCAGTAAACGACATTAACTTTTTAAATAAACAAGAGAAGGGTAAATCACCTAATACGCTGTTTTCGTACAGAATCCCTATTTCGTTCCTCGATGAGTTGGCGTATTTGGTATCGTGGAAGATAAATCTCATCAACTCTTCAACGGCCTCATGTTAACCCGAAACGACCCACACATAAAAGCACCCCATAGCATACTTAACTTTAGAACGAAGCTTAGAAAAACCGGTAAACCGTATCTGTTGATTCCTGAAGCATAAATTAAAAAACGCAAAGAAACTAATACTCGTCACAGAGCAGAAGTTTAACTCTTCTGGTCTTCAATATTCCTGCTTCAGTATGCGTATCACGACTTCTCATGATCCAGTCCGTAAGGAAATATAAGGTCGGCGCTGTGTTCAAGGGTTACTAGTTTGGAGAAAGGCAAATGGCTCGACAGCTGAGGCGCGAGGAATCAATTCCATGTTTTATGACAAATTGTCATGGAAAAATGTTCTGGCAACGACGTCGTGGGTAATTTTCCCCATTTATTTACTGTTTATATGTCTTTTTCTGAAATGAATGCGTTCTCACTTGCGGCAACCATAACTCGATTTCTTCAAATACCCGCGTGTTTATAGCTGACCCCGTCACTATCTAACTGTACTGGATTAGTAATGATTTGCCCCAAGTGAGAACATGGATCCCAACCTGTCTTTTTAACCCGTATGAGGAAAGTTTCGCATACTGCAGTCGGAAAAGTTATCCATCACAAGTATCTGTCTGTCAGACTGATTCTGGCTTTTAGTTAGCTAGCTTTAGTTTGTGAGCAATATCTACAAAACAATGCTTTCAGGAAATATTCGAAAATCCTTTCACCCCTTCATGGCTTCTTAGAACGCAGTCCGCTGCCATCGACAGTCAGCAGTTTGCAACCAGAATAGTGGCTTCATATCTGAGACGCAAAAAAATAGCTCCGCGTTTTAATTTCGACCTCTCTCAAAAAAACATTTCGGCAATCATGCCGAGGGAC